CTTATTTAATTTTCGATGAAATAACTTTGCCTTACGAGTCCCTTCAAAAAACAGCATCGTGTTCATGTTTGTCTTCGAAAAAAGTGCAATGTACACAGCGTCTCCTCAGCCATTTCAAGCCCCAAGCCGGGAACGCCGATCTTGTCGCCATTTTGCCAAGCCAAAATGCCAGCGGGGGAACCGGTTCCCGGCTGCCATGTGGGGGCACGGCAGCTATCGTTCTCTCTCTCTCTCTCTCTCTCTCTCTCTCTCTCTCTCTCTTGCCTGACATTCTCTCATCCTGCTATTGATGTGTCGCGGGCGGTCGTTGTCTTGAGCATCAGCCTCGGAGACTGTCCATCTCACTTTCCCGGGAGCTCGACCACTAAAAAAACCCGCAATCTGCCATACCTGGGGTGACACTTTCACCGCTGGACGACACGCTATTTCGTACCTACAAATTTTTATTACCACCTGAAGTTTTGCTAGAACCAACGGGATAACCTTATAAAAGTAAGCGCTTGGCTCTAAAAAGTACCTAGCAGTACTTTTCGTTAAGCCACATTTGCCTATGTTTTTGAAAAATGCTTGAAAATATCGAATTTTTAAGGAGAGTTTATATAGTTTTTCTGTATGTTTTTAGTGGGCAAGCATGCCGAACTCGAGAAGAAGATCAAAATGTACAGGCTTGTTTTCCGCGCATCCTCCATCGTCTGTCTGATTGCCGTTTTTGCTATATTCTCCCAGCTGCCATTTCTATACAATTCGATGCACGAGACCGGGAAAGTTTTGAAGTATCAGGCGCAAGAGTGTTCGGTAAGTTTTCACGATTTTACAGTAAGAAAAACACATTTGAAGGTTCTATTAAAAGCGCTGAAAAGCCACAATTACCAGGGTATTTCGACGTAACTTTTCAACGGCGCTATTATGATTTTTCTGTTGTAGAAAATCCAGTTCTATCGACTTCTCAGTGCCTTTAATCAAAGCTCATTCAGAATTCCGCCGAGCGACTATGGGAAGATATTCATGGCTTCAAGCCGAGACGAAGCAACGGTGACGATCTGCCGTCATCTGTATGTAAAGGTACAATACTTTTTCAGATTGTCAAAGCTATGTATTCTTTTTCTAGCGAACGCCAACGAATCCTGCGCACCAAAATTCCGTGACCTTGTTGCATAGCAGCAGACATTTTTAGCGTTTATGATTTTGTGATTATGGGTATTTGAAGGTCGCTCAAACCTCGAGTTAAATAAATTGCTTCAGGATGTATTTTCATGAATTGGATAATTTTTAATTATAAAATCAGTAGATGCTGGATAGTCAACGAATCTTTGTCGGCTCGCCCTTCTAATCAGATTTCCGAAAAGAATGTCTGCCAGCAGCATGATTTCTCCGTTTCGATTCGCGAAGATGCCCTGCTAGCTGCTACTTCAGTTCCAACTTCCCCAACAATCTTGGCTAGCTCACCAATATGCGGGCATGAAAGGCTGCGTTCGATACTATCTTACGTACGGTGTTAGCTGGCGTAACGCATTCGTGAAAATTCGCCTAATGTTCATATAACATTCCGTTGTTATGCATCGTTGTGTAGGCTACCCTTGTAGTAAGACACAACCACTACAACGAACCAAATGACCGAACGAACAGCCGGGTTGGCACCACCACCACTACCACTATCCGGCTGGGGGGCATTTGTGTGACCCCTGCCCACAACAAACCCCGGGGCTACGAGAACCCCCCACTGTCTCGGTCTGTCCCGCGACGTCCAAAGGAGTCCAGGGGAATGTGGTGTAAAGCCCCCCGGCTTGGGCCTTAACCTTGGCCCTCTCTCGGCTCCACTTTGCTCGGCTCTCACTTCCAAACCCCAACTAATGCCAATCATAAAGGCTCATCCTTGGCTAGGGGCACACTCTGTCGGCTGGATATTTTACGGGCCCTCGGGGCATGAATTTCCAGGCTTTTCTGGTATATTGCCGACCTTATTTAATATTTTTTGTTTGTTTACTTTTATTATTTGGTCGATAATGGGCGTGAGTGTGCGGGAGCATGAGAGAACGAGCATGAGATCAAGCAAGAGATTGACTCGTCGATGACATTCGAGTATACTTTTTGAATTTTTTGTACGTCTAGAAGGGAGAGCGAGATCGAGAGAGAAAGAGAATGCGAGAGGGAGACGGTCCGCCAGAGAGCGAGAGGGAGAGAGAGAGAGTTCCGAATTTCATTTAAAAAATTTCAGCATTCCTGACACTTTTTTCATTGCTTTGGTCACTCCTCTATCATTAATTTGGATTATTTTCAGACCATTTTTAGATGCGATTACGACTGTTAATTCTCTGCTCCATTTTTCTATTGGCCTATTCACAAATCGAAACCCGCCAATCACAGGGCAAGAAGGGCAAATTTTTCGTGCACGCCCTCCATTCGGCAAGCTTTTTTAAAACTACTGGTGAGTTGAACGTTGTGAATTTACAGTCATTGTTTTAGAGTAATCGATGTTAAGTAGAACTCTGTTTCGAATGCATTTTTAGTCCCCGTAAAATGGTCAGCTACTATGAAAGGTCGGCCGAGTCTGCCGCAATGGCTGCACCTTGTCCCTTCACAACGGCACGAAGCCCTAGCCTATTTGATAGGGTGAGTGGCAGGCTAGCAAAGGTTATTTTGGAAAATTGGAGCCGTTTTGGCTCTTTAACGATACTAATTTCAGTACGCCAGTTACGCCGCTACGGCAGATGACCATTCACGTGATCGCGAAAAGCTTACATTCCGATGAGATCAAGCAGCAATTTATCGTGATTAACTTGACAGAGGACTGTAAGTTATTTATATCGAATTATATTTATTTTTGCACTATTTTATATTATATTTCTTTTATTTCACCTTCATAGTTTAATTCAGTATTAACATTAAAGCAATCAGCAGTATTTGTCCTTTACCTTATAGCTAAAATTCCCCTGCAATTTTCAGCAAAATACAGCTCCGCCACCACCCAGGTCCTCGATCTGTACATCCGCAACTATGATGCCGAATCGTTGATCTCAGGTGTGAGACCACAGATTTTTAATGTTGTTTTGTTCAAGATCGTAGCGGGCTAATTGGCAAGCTGGAGGCGGCGGCCAAGGAAACATTTGTCGGCGCCCAGGTCTACCCATATATTTTCAAGTAAGTCTGGAATGGGGCAATCAAGCTACAAACCACAAGAACACGACCAGAAAAAATAGTAAATAGGACATTTAAAGTACTAAGAAGTGTTAGAATCGACGCCCTTATATCGACTAGGTGGAGTCGACCTGTAAAGCGCGCGCTAAAACACGCATCACAGGATTTCAAAGATATCGATGTATCTACCCTACCAAAAAACCTTGAGCATAAAAGGCCTAGCCGATGGTTGATTTTAACGCTTTCCAGCTCCGTTAAAGGGATACCCAACCTTTTCGGGGCTCAAAAAGCAAAAACCATGACGCGGGCGGGGGTCGAACCCGGGACCCCCGTTTTGTAGGCCAGGATGCTATCCATTTGGCCATAGTGGCAAGCCACTGGGTGGGATGGGGACGCCACAAGAGGGAGAGAGGGCCGAATTCTGTGCGGCACTAGGCATCCATTACCGCACAAAATTCGCGCGTCATTTGTACTCCCCGGAATACATAACTATATATTTGCCGCCAAAACATTGGGTATCCCTTTAAGGCCAGTTTGACTGCCACAGGCATTCGAAGAGCAAATCTTTACGCGTAACTTGGCGTGGCGCGTAGCTGACTAGACCGAGTTGCTGGTAGTGATCAATTCTAGCGCTTACCACGTCCTTAAAGTCCGGCATTGCAACTGCTCACACCATCAAACCGAAATCCGGTCCGTAATTTGGGGTAGCGCGTAACTATCTAAACCTAGTCTCAGTTAGCGGGTTGATTTTTCCGTCAATCCTCTTTAATACTCGCTTCATAGGGGTAGCTTAAAGGAAAAGAAAAACAAAGAAAAAGGAATCAATAAAAGCAATGATTGTTTTAGCATCAAGCCCTCGGCCGACATCCACGGATCTCGGCAACACCTCTTCGACCGCCACAAACCGGGCGCTATCGTCCAGATCGGCACCCAGAAGGGTTTTTACAAGAATTTGCACGACATGGTCCGAACGCTGCGCAACAAGCCGATGTTCTGCGTCAGGAATGAACATGTGATTTTAAAGTACTCTTCATACATTTGATGATTTTAGGTCCCGATCGACAAGAAATTCCAAAACTCGTTCGACATCGATTGGTGCCGGACGCAAGTAGTAAGTTCTCGGCCAAAATTTGAGTTCCCAAAAAGTAACAGTTTTTCCATTGGCAGTTGATTTCTTTTTCTTTAAGCTTAAACGCACAAATCCTTAAATATGAATTTTACGCATAAGGTTCCATTTTTAGCACGTCATCAGCAAGGGCAACCAGGATAAATATGAAAGGCAAAGCCATGGCTCCACGGAAAGCGCCAGGGTAAGTATATCTTATTATTTTACCAAATTCTTTTCTCAGCCGAAATCCTCTGAAGCCCTGCTGACAACGACGACAATGACGAGCGAGATCCTTGCCCCAGTTGATGGCTACTCGTTTTGGGATTCAATTCTGGCGCTTCCGGTTTTTGGGATGGCCGTTATTGTGATTCTTCTGATCCTGGTCGTCATCTTTTTTGGATGTCGCGAAGGGCAACAGTGGCGGGACTACAAAACTCCGAAGTAAGACAGAATTTGTGGGGTTTTTAAAGGGACTGGAAAGTCACAAATCGTTTCTCTAGCGCGTGAGGATACTAAGGCCGTTCGTAAAAACCTGGGTTAGGACCTGAATGTCTATTCATTTTAAAAAATTTATCTGGAAGACGATTTAAATACCAGCTTTTTAGAGAACAACTGGAAGAGTACGTCTCCGTCCGGGACAGCCAGAGGCACCTTCGAGAACTTTCGGTTCAACGTCAACTTCTATTGATGAGCAACGATCGGGAGAACAGCCAGGCGCCTTCAGGTTTGCGAAACCTTTCAGGGTAAGGCTCCGATACTCTAGGTATCCACTCATTTTTGCGGCCAAAAAGCCGAACAAGTTCTGTGCAACATTTACCGCCTCGACTGCCACGACACTATAAAAGTGCTTCGAGGATAAACGATAGTAAGTTGAAGGGAGAAAGAGAGGGATAGGGAGAGAGAGAGAGAGAGAGAGAGAGAGAGAGAGAGAGAGTGAGAAAGAGAGAGCAAGAGAGTGCGAGAGAGAGGGAAAGGTAGAACCGATTTTTAGATACCTCCGAGATGCTCGGCTCTGGGATGGAAATGGTCCCGGTTGGAAAGCAAACCGTTGCGGAAGCGGCAAAGCAGTGTGGAAGTAGCCTACATTTGTATAGGTATTAAAAGGCATATTTACATACCATTTTTTCTAGAAATCCCTTGGATTCAAATAGCGATCCTGATCATGAAAACGAAGAAAACGACAGCTTGGAGGAGCAGCCGACAGGAAGATATTGATTTGTTTAAACGAATATTTATCACGTTTTACGGGTTTATTTATATTTTTCAATTTGCTTGCCCTTTTCTTTGATGACCTTAAGATATCCTAGCATTATTGATACCTCTATGCCCCTAAAATTATGTAGAATTCGTGAAACTACCAATTTCGAAATTGCCCTCAATTTTTAGTACATTGTTTTGAAGCTCAAAATTATAACATTCTCCCCTTAACTACAGCCCAAAAAATCAACCTGCTAGCCTTGTTGCGCTTTTTGGGTGACTACAACTAAACAGCCCATCTGTATACCTGGTATTTAACATCATTCTTCCCCCTCGTCATTTCGTCTGTTTTCCTGCGCCCGGTCTGTGGCTGCCTTGGCGGTGATAAATGTCAATTTTTGGTCTGTAAAGGTTGGTCGCTGCACCGGAGTGAGTACTGACCTGTACTTGTTCAGCTTTAACTGGAACTTGCTCAAACTTTGCTGACGGCAAGCGCCCAAGAAATTTGATTTACCGACGCCGATGAGAGGGTGAAAGGTTGAAGTGTTGAGCTTAAGAAAGGCCGAAAAAAGAGGGAATACTGTGCGTCAGGTGATTTTCGCGGAATCTGGGTGTAACGCTAGAACAGAGCCAAAGCCTGACCGTTTTCCTAATGCTGTAATTTTTACTAAAGTTATAAGATTTGTGAATTGGGACGTGTCATTACTCTTAGGATCAAACGTCTTTTCGTGCGTCCCTCTTGCAAAATTGGAGCAATAACTTCTCAGGTTACCTTCAAAATTTCCAATTTAATAATAGCGAAATAAATTCGAAGTTTAAAAATGCCGAAATTGCGATTTGTCGCGTTTTTTGGCATTGATCTGGGGATTGGAATGGCAGATTTGTTTATGTGAATTTCCCCATCACGAAATTTCGACCTGAAGAAATTTTGACACTGTGGAGAAGGTTCGACAGTATGAATTTCGGCACTATAATAGCAAATATAACTTTTTCTGTTGACTTAAATATAATCTGCATATTGTCGACATTATGCGAGAGTGAGAGAGAGAGAGAGGGAGGGAGAAAGAGAGAGCGTGAGCCAGAGAGCTAGAGAGAGGGAGAGATTGAGAGACAGTGAATGGACGTGAGAGTGAGAAATTCGTGCAGTAACGACTCGCTAGAGGTACGGTAGCTTTGCCCTGGGTGCATCAACCGCCAATATAAACTTTACGCCCTGCCCGCACTTTCTATGCCGTCTGTTATCTCCTAACCTGCAGCAATTCTATCATAATTTTCACCTTAACTCGCTGCTTTCAAGATAGCTTTGAAAAATGCACCCCTATATTATTTATGAAATGGCCACCCACATGAAATGTGCTTTTTGTACATGGCGGGCGGGCGACCTTTAGCCCTCGTCTTTTTCAGCACATTTTTGCCACCCACCCCCAATTATGCGGTGGGCGGGCAATTTGGATTTATTGCCCGCGATTTGGGGCCTATTTTTCCCGGTGCTTGAAACCAAAAGCCTGGACAGCTAATGATTTTTGATTCCATGGCATACGGCTGAAAAATGGTAATTTCTATTTCGTACTGCGTTTTCTAAGTTTCTAAGGAAGTTGTGAATTGTGTTGTGAACGTACGGAAGCATAGGCCTGCGAAGCCTAAGCCTGCGTAAGCCTAAGCCTGCCTAAGCGTAAGCTCTTTTAAAAATTTTCTCTGAATTAGTACCCGGGGTTTTAACTTTGTTTGTAAATAGCTCTGAAAGAGTCAAAAATGTATTTATACCATGTATCTGCATAGAAATGATTCGCTAGACTTAATATTCGCTACAAAAACGATTCAAATCCGTTTGTGGAAAGTACGAGTTTTGGCAAATTACGTCTTCCAAACTGTAAAATAACTATAAAGGCGTTCTAAGGAAATTAATTGAAAAATTTTTAAAACTAATTTCATCGGAGAGTAATTAAATCATGTTGTTTCTTAAAAGGTTCGCTGCCGAAAATAATTCGCAAGCATTCATGGCCCTGTTTTCTGATTCGGCCCGCCATTGCAGGCCAGTCGATGTCCCCCAACTTGTAACCTTCACAAAAAAATGTCATTTGTGGAAGCGCTATTTTGGGTGCATGGGCAGCTTGATTTAGAGCTCTAGTATTGTGGGCCAGGTAGTTATTTTACTGTGTATCATTAATGTGTCGCTATAGTACTCGGCAAGTTCTTGAAAAATCAAGTGTTTCTCTTTTCTTTTACAGTACCAATTTTCCCCATAAAGAATTTCTTAATTTTTATCTTTTGCAGTTACTTCAATGGGTATGCAATCCAAAAATTTAACATGAAGATTTTTGCTAGCTAAAAATTTTAGCTAGCAAAAATCGTAATATCGTAATTTTTGGCTCTGTCATTAATACGTATTTACCGGGCTCTTCCAATACATCCAAAAATGCATTATTGCTGTTTTTTTTACCGCCAATTTAGGCAATTTCAACTTCCCCACAATTTCATATAGCTTTATTCTACGTCACAGGAATCCAAAGAAAAAAAAATACAAAACAGTCGGTTCAGAAAGAAGTTCGTCGGCGCGCGTGTGTATTTTTCCCACAAAATTAAAATATCCAAGAACGGGGAAAAGACTGACCAGAGCGGGAAGTTGCGTGTTTTTTAGGATATAACAAGGACCGAAAACCTATATAAAATGGCATTAAAGGGCCGCAGAAGTACGTAAAATCTATGGATTTCCTTGACTCCTTTTGCCAGAATCCATAGGCTCCTCAAAAGTTTCCGACCTTCTCCGGCCATTTAAAGCCCTAAAACAGCGTTAAAAAATGCTGGAATGGGCCAGAAATTAAAACAAAATTTGCAGACAGAAAAATCGGGGGATTTTGGAACAAGAGGGTAAGTAAAGCGGGGTGACTAGAATTTTTTCGAAACCGAGAAAAATATCGAAATTCGGTGGCAACGGCAAAAAAAGAGCAATTCGGTCGGATATTGGGGGGTTGGGTGTAGCAAGAAGGATATTAGGAGATAACGAAAATTAAAAATAGGCATTTAAAGGAGCCGGCAAGGCTGTCTATCGATTTTTAATTTAAAATTGATGCCTTAAGATTTTTTGGGCGGTTTTCCCTTTTTAGGTTGCCATCCGCACACGTTACGTACCGGATCGCGGTCTTTGCAAAAAGATCCATAGCCCAAAATCCATAGATTTGCCTTGCCGATACCTCTAAATATTTTTAAGGGGGTGGTCGATGACACTGGCGGCGAAAAATATGGCTTGAAATTTCGAAAAATTGAATTTTTAGTTTTTTTTTGTAATGGCAAAATAGCGTAGTAATTACTGTACTATACCGTCCATACCTGATTAAATACATAAGAATACAAAATTTTTCTCAACGTTCAAATATCTCGTAACCCTATTTTCCACGAATTTCTCGGACAAAAACACTCATAAAATTTCTCCTCGCGCTTGGCTGGTGATATGCTCGGGGGTGCGTCGAAACAAACAGATTGCAATGCATAAAAAATAATTTTAGGAAATGACGAAATTAGAAAAACATCGAAGACAAACAAGTTCGGCAAGGATTCGAAGAGGTGGAGAGGGAGCAGAAGCTTTTGGTTGTCGTGGGGTTGCGATGCGTGGAATTTTTTTAAGAAAGCTGAATTTCGTGGGTGGAAATAACAAAAATGTACGTTAAGAACATAAAAAATTACTGTTACAATCGAAACATTTGGACCTATTTACCGTATTCGATGGTTGGATAAATAAAGTAAGGGGTTTTTCGCTGGTGGAAATGGGGCGTGGCTAGCTAGATGGGCCTTGAATTTACAGAAAATGGAAATATGTTTTTTTATGGTTTTCGGAAAATTAATAGCCTTCCAAAACTCTTTACGAGAAAAAATCAAACAACACGAACTTTTTTTAGCGACTCGCCCAGCCAGCCACCCCCATCTACCGTACCCCAACTCGGGGCTACGGTAGCCTATCCGTGGCTGCTAGTCGGAATGGCGTGCGGGAGAGATGGACGACCGGAAGTTGAAGCGGCTCGTGGCTTCCCGAAATCGCTGCTCGAATTCTCGGCCGACAGCTGGAGGTCGTGCAGCGATTTGGTTATCTGAAAGTAAGTCGGTTTATTTTATTATTTTCTTTTTGATTTTATTATATTATGGATTAAAGGGACATTTAAGGATAGCCAACGATTTTTGAACATAAGTTTCAGCTTGTTTCGCGGCGGACACGATACGAAAAGAGGTACGTCGAGGTTTGTTTGTTTTTTTTTTTTTTTTTTTTGGGACGATGAGTAAAGGTGTTCGTCAAAATTCTTTGGGTAGATTTTTGAGAGGTATTCGTGGATTTCAAAAGCGTTAAATAGCGAGTAGAATTTTGAGATAACTCTAAGTATATGTTAATAAGTTTTTACCCATTAAATTTAACAAAAAAAAACTGAATTTTAGTGATTTTTGATGTGCGCTAAATAAGGAACACCGAGGTGCTAGATATTCCACAGCGGTAGCGGCATTCAAGCTACATGAAAAGCCCGGAAACATTCAGTAGAAAACAGGATCGTGGGCTACATATAAATATACAGAAATATGTGTAATATTTAGACGAAGAAAATGGCACCTTGTGTCCGCACTGGCATCCGGCTCCCGCTGCTCCGCACACGGTACACGGGGCGCCGAGTAGATTTCCGTTGGAGAAGACCGCCTGGAAATGGGTGACGCGGTGGTGGGTCGTATTTTGGGTGTAAATAGGTAAGAAGCGTAGTGGCCACACGCTGATTTGGCACGAGGCGGAAAAGCGACGACAGACGCCTTTAGACGCGGGTGCGGCAGATGCGGAGCGGAAATGGACGGGGGTGCAATTTGGAACACGACGGAATTTATCGATTTTTTGGCTTTGTCGTAACTGATTTATGAACCTTTTACAGCTATTCGAAATTTTTACGACTCGAAACTTCGAAAACTTCGAAATTGAAAATTCGTACGTGAAAATTATTGAATTTACATGTTTTTTGATCTACTAAAATATTTTTTTTAATCTACTATTGGTTGTGTTGATTAGTTGATTTCGTGAAATATTGATTTTTATGTTAAAGAAGTTAAAAAAGATCCAATAAATTTTTTCTAGGACAGACAGACAAACAGGAGAACGAAAAAACCACCGGAAACAGACAGAGCACAGCCCCTAGTATTGAACACTGCTTGTTAACCACACACGAAGCGACCAGAGAAACATGGCTTAATAGAATAAATGGTTTACCGGATACAGGGAAGACACAACGCTCCACATGCCATGCACGGCTAGAATTGGCGGGTTTTAGTGGGAGGCATTAGGTTGGGTGATTTTGAGGGTTTAGAGGGGGTTTAATTGGACTTTAATTTCCTTACAAGTAGATTTGCGATTTTTGGGAGTTTTTATTTAACAAGGCAAGTATATTTAAGGTATCGTTGTTAAATCCCGAAAAATGTAAATCTGATGAAAGTTAAATAGGAATTTTATTCATGTTTGTAGTAGTAGTAGTTTGTCAGTTTGTTGCTTTTTTCGTTGTGTTTGTCCAGTTTTTTGCTTTTTTCGTAATTGCGCCATGAAAATCCAAACCATGAAATTTCCGATTTTTGTTTAGAATCTTAGTCGATACCTAGGCTTGTTTGTGGCATTTATTATTAGTTGCCGGTTTTCTAATTTTGCCATTTAGAATTTGAGTTATTGATTTCCTGTTTGTGCTAAATTACAGTATTACAAGCGGTTCTACCCAACTCTAAACTACAGCATGACCAAGAGACACAGCGGTACGATTTCAGGAGGGGGGGGGGGGGCTGACAGGCGGGCAGGGGGCTTTTCGGGGAGGTAGTAAAATCCACGCACACCGTACCACTTACGCTATGTCTCTCCAAAATGCAACCGATTGGGGGGTGGTGGTGTTGGTGTGGTGTGTGCGCAATTTCATGGGGAGGGGATGAAGAGAAGGAAGAGGAGTATGGAGAAGTGGATGTGAGCACTTTCTTTGAGCATCATCAGTCAGTCCGCATTCAATTACCCCCCTGGAATATGGTGGGCCAGGTCAGAGTATTTATCACTCGCAAATGCGGTGTAGTTAGGTGTGGAATGTACTGGGTGTGTTTTTGAGGGGAAATTGGGAGGATGCCGGGTATAAATTCTTCCATAAAACTGGCTTCTAAATTTTTCAAACGATTTACAGTGTTTTTCCGGTCAGGATATGCAATTTTTGACGAGACGCGACGCACACGTTAGGTTTTCGTCATAAAAAGAAAAAGTCCGCGCTGCGTGCCGCGGCAGAATCCAAAAATTCCATTACTAAAACATAGCACCCTTGCAGCCGCGGCACAGCTTTATAACTTTTTTAAGCGGATTCAAAGGCATTTAAAATGCCTTTAACAGCGCTTTTAAGAAATTTATCGGTGTTTTTGCAAGCGAAAATCCTGTAATAACCGCTTCAGAAATTTTCAGACCGATTAAAAACTTAATTTTTTTTGATTCAAAACGATCCAAAAACGCATTTTGAAAGTCTTGCATCCTCCCATTTCACCCAAAAACTCCTTCTTCCATTCCCCGAAACCGAGCCATCATCCAGCACTAATTTGCATATCCCCAAAAAGCCCATTTCGTCGACCACCAGCACAACACGATAAAATCATAGTCAGCCCGGCACGGCATTTAAATAAAATCGGTGTCTTTAGTTGCACAAATTTCGGATGATACAGTATGCGTTGTGTTTTTTACGATGTGCCTTTTTACAGAAACCTTATCCATACTAAACTTGTTTTTGTATGTAAATAGGGGGATAGTCGGAGAAGCACGGGAAATTTTTGTAAGCCCTTCAAGGCAGCCATTAATAGAGGAGGGGGGGCGGGTGGGGCGGGGCGTACGGTATGATTTTTGTTCTCTAGAATATGCCGCATCCAACCTTTCGCTTGAAGAGTCGCGAGAAGAACCCGGGCTTGTCGCTGTGGCCATTCCGAGCACCGGGTTCACCGGGCGCACAGTCGGGCCGAAGGTTTGGGACCTGGAAAGAGGTGTATGTAGTTTTTTAGAGGTATCTCTCTTATTTCCTCTCTCTCTCTCCCTCTCTCTCTCTTTCGCTCCCCCTCTCTCACCTCTCTTTTTTATCTCCCGCTCTCTCACTCTCTTTTTCGCACCCTCTCTCTCTCGCTCTCTCTCCCCCTCTCTCTCTCTCTTGCTCCCTCTCCCTCTCTCACTCACTCACTCCCTCGTTCTATTGATCATAACTTACTAATTGCCCATTAACATATAACTCGTTCAACTCGGTGTAGCACTCCGTCTCGATCATCTACAATTTTTTAGCATCCGGCAACTTAAGAAACCAACCTCATTTTGCCAAGGTATCGACACGGAGCCGGTGTTGAACTTTCCGTAGAACTGGGTGTCAGAAGCATCCAACCGAACGCCTTTGACCGTGCTGAACTGCTCGATATCGAGCACGTCTTTGGCGTAGACGGCTCGCGGATCGGGGCAGAATGGTGGGCTCAGCTGTAAATCACGCATGAAATTAGCGTAAATGCAGTAAATTCCTTATGAGAATTATTCCAGAGTTTCCAAGATCTTTGTAAGCTATTTTTGGCAATATTTCTCACCTTTCCAGCTTCCATTTTCTTCCACGGCACCGGCTCCCTGCCGGTGTTATTGTCACCGTGCGTGAAAAAGGGATGCGATCGCATCTCGTCGGCACCATCTTCAGGTCGTCCAACCCTTCTACAGCCAAGTCGGAAAGTTGGCTCTTTGTGGAGAAGACCTCTGAAAATTGAGCTATACATGAACTTGTTCTCTCTCTCTCTCTCTCTCTCTCTCTCTCTCTCTCTCTCTCTCTCTATCGCTCCACAAACCTGCACAACGTCCTGGCGGCTTCCGAAAACTTGTCCGAATACTTTTCCTGATCTTCTTTCACTCTTCTTTCGACTTCTTCCCGTTTTACTTTTCCTTTTCGTTGCCGGAATGGGGCCTGAAATAGAATTTGAGCTTATTTTTAGCTGACTTTTCGATTTCCTAAGTATCATTAATAGTTATACTTTTAAACCCACCTTTCCCTCGATCATTTCATAAATAAGACAACCAACTCCCCACCAGTCCACGCCATACGAGTACCGCTCGTTTTTGATGATTTCGGGGGCTGTAAAATGAAAATGAGCTCTAAGGAGACCAAAAATTTTACTTCACAGTTCCTTTAAAAGGATACGCTCCTTTAAAAACCCTTTGGTTTTGCCCCCGCAGACTTTAGCCACCTCACACCGCGCTTGTAGTTTCGACAACATAAAAAATCTCGTAAGCTATTCTACAAAACCGCTGAGAACGTACGCTTAAGCGTGTAGGTCTCGCGGAATCCGTAAGGAGCCTTGCCTTGCCAGTTCCTTTCGACCCCAAAAACTCACCCATATACCCAACGGTCCCGACTCGCCCCTTTATCGGCTCATTCTCCTTCAACTCCACCGCCAGCCCCAGGTCCGAAATTCGCACATGCCCTAAAACAATCAAATTTTCCTAAAAGTTGCTAAGCCTACCGTAATCATCCAGCAAAATATTCTCCGGTTTCAGGTCTCGATATAGTATCCGTTCCTTGTGGAGGTGCTGCAATCCCAGGGTGATTTCAGCCGCGTAAAACTGAACACGACGCTCCTCAAAACCGCCGGGCATCAGGTTGTAGAGGTGGAACTTGAGGTCACCTATTTTCGGATATTTATGCGATACCTTAGGTTCAATTTACCTCCATTCATTAATGTGAGGACAAGGCACAGGGCGTCTTTTGTCTCGTAGGCGTAGGCGAGAGATACCTAAAATATGAAAATAAGCAATTCCTTTTCCGCAGTTGCTATGCCAGGTTTTTCGATCATTTTTTCCTCTTTTTTACTTTATAGATTTATTAAATTTCAATATATTATCAAATCCCTGGAAAATTTGAGCTATGGGTCTTTTGCGTTGTGCTTTCGTGCCTCAATTAAAGACGAGTTCCAAGAAGCAGGGAGTCATATGCAAATTAGGTGAGAATCCTCATTATTTCGAGGTTTTTGTCAGAAGACTTGAGTTTGAGTTGTGCTTCCCCAATAATTGGCACACCGGTTTTTGCTAGTATTTCTTGCGCGTCTGGGAATTTTATAAGAAATCTGGCAATAGGGATAATTCGCTAGAGCGAGAAAAACAGGATTTTGCTTTTGTAGTTTGCAGTCTAGTGCTGAGTTTTTCGTTCCAAAGCAAGGTTGTAGATGTTCCCGGTTTTGAAGCCTTAAAAAAACAGCTAGCGACAAGATTAGGGTTCAAAAATTTCTAGGCAAAGATACGACACATCGAAAGATTTTCGACAACCATCAAAAAGTTCTCAGTTAACATAAAATTGCTAAATGGGTTTTTCGAAAATGCCCAAAACTCACCACAAACGGCGAGTTTATCCGCTGCAAGATCTGCTTTTCGTTGAGGGATAGCGTTTCGGCGTGCCTCTTCTTCACCCGCTTCTTTTCCAGCTTTTTCAGCGCGTACATCTTGCCGCTTGAGCGTACCTGGAAAGAACAAGGTTCTAAAAAAAAATGCTCCAATTATGCATCTGCACTTCAGTGCGTATTTCTATTATATTTGGTTGATTTCTCCGTTTTCTCGATCTAGCCAACTCCCTTGCAAAAACTCGATCCATTTCCAATATTAATTTTCTGCACGTTTTTAGTCAGGTTGATCCCTCGGATTCTTTGGGTTAACCACGTTTTTAGCCTGGCTCGCATAAACGCCCTCCGCCTATGCGGATGGCCATGTGAGGGTGCTGAATAATTTAGCGCAATGACGCGCACACCGCTTTTTAGCCTTTTTTTGGCGCTTCTCACTCGTCCAGCGCGACCAATTGCCTGTTTTAGGGGCGTTGGTTCCGTTAGTTTTTTGAGCTTTCTAAGGATTCGAGTCCTGGATATGGCATTAAAGCGTTTATATGGATTTAATGGAGGAAGAAGCGGAGCGCGGGATCAGCTCAAATGACGTTTCATTTAATTCGAGCAAAGGACAAATTCGGACTTCTCGTTTCAAGCCTAAGCTCAACCGAAGCCAATCCGAAGCTAAGCTTAAGTTAAGCGTAAGCTAAGCCTGAGTTAAGCCTAAGTTAGGCCTAGGGTAACGCTAAGTCTAAACCTAAGCATTAGCCTAAATTAAGCCTAATCCTAGGCCTAAGCCATCAAATTAGAAGAATTGGAAGCCAAAATGCCTATGCCATTTCCTACATACATTTTTTAGCTTTGTTTATCCTTTGGAAACCGTTTCCTTGATGATTTCCGGAAATAGCCGCTTTGAGCTCAGGGAATCCGACGTTTAATGAATTTTCCGACGTCATTTGCATATAGATGCAACGAGCTTAAAAATATGGTCCCTCATCATCATCGCAAACCACAGATTCCGTAAATCTCCCTCCCTAGGCCCCAGTGTATTCTGGTATGTATGCATATCCCCCGAATCCACCCCTCGAAGATGAAGTGAACCCCGGCCCGGTTTTCGACATGCCGATGGATGGGCCCCAAGGAAGAGCAGGGGCCCAACTGAGGGGCCAGAGAGGCCCTTGAGACCTCATTTTGGACCCCCTCCCCCCTACACCATGACCATATTCGGCTTGTGCCTCTTCTTAGGGCTGGCTAGCCTCATATACATCATCTACACCACCATACATCGACATTTCGGGAAGGGGATGGGGCTGAGGAAAACATAAATTTTCTGGGGTGCTTTGGAAGCATATAAAGCTTAGAAATGGGCTTGAAAAGTGAAAGGGTTGATAATTATCGAGATAAGAATTTCAAGGAGTTCTAGCGATTACGAAAATTAAAAAACTAATTAAAAACTGGCTACATTTCAGAAAATCATTTTTAAAAATATGTTATGGTATTAAATGGGTGTAATTTAGCGAAAAAATGACCAAAACACAGTAAACTAAAAATCTTCCATTCAGGGCAAAATCGTCGTTAAAACTTGGATTTACACTAAAAAATGCTAGCGTCAAAGGTATATTACGATATTTGTCATTTCTTTTGTAGGAAAATCACCAAAAAACTATACTGTGCTCTCGAAAAATTATTGAAACCTGATTTGAAAAAGCTACAGTCCGCGTCATAATTATAGGTTCACCCCATTTTAGGACAGCTTGTTAATCTAGAATAAGTTTCGGATAAAACGGGCGTTGTAATCAGTTAGGGCATAACTCAAAACCTTCAAGGCCATTATCCATTTGGTTAGAAAAGGCTTCTAGATTTTGAAGGAATTTTATCTAAAAAAAGGCTTACTGGGACCCGCGTCATAAAGATAGGTTCACCCCGAATTTTTCTGCAAAAATCATACATTCGGATTTTACTTATATTTTCAATTAAGCAGCATTGAAGTGTACACGAGTTTCCGATACTTGGTTTGACTCGAAAGGTTTCAGGGAATTTTTTGCAAAAGTCCATTTTAACAAAGAAATCACACTTTTTAGGATTATCCGGCGATATTCGTTTTAAATTTTTAGTATGTAGACGGTTTCGGAAAGTGCACTTAATGACGAGCATTTTGGTATATAAACCGCTATAGGAACTTAGGTGTTCACGAAGATACAGGTCTAGAAACATCGAACCTCCTGGGTCCCATACTAAATGGCCGCCAATCCTTACTTGCGCAGTCCATCCCAACTTTCTTCGTGTGTGTCACCCCAATATCGCCGAAGCCAAAGACGTTGTTATATACCAAAATGCTTGTCTTGAGCTGCTCTTTCAAGCCCATAGAAGGAACATGCGCTTCCGGTTAAATCCAGCCCGTATCGCCACAAAAATAGTAATTTCTTTGTTAAAATGGACTTTTGCAAAAAATTCCCTGAAACCTTTCGAGTCAAACCAAGTATCGGAAACTCGTGTACACTTCAATGCTGCTTAATTGAAAATATAAGTAAAATCCGAATGTATGATTTTTGCAGAAAAATTCGGGGTGAACCTATCTTTATGACGCGGGTCCCAGTAAGCCTTTTTTTAGATAAAATTCCTTCAAAATCTAGAAGCCTTTTCTAACCAAATGGATAATGGCCTTGAAGGTTTTGAGTTATGCCCTAACTGATTACAACGCCCGTTTTATCCGAAACTTATTCTAGATTAACAAGCTGTCCTAAAATGGGGTGAACCTATAATTATGACGCGGACTGTATAATCAAGGGTCCAAAAAAACTAAATTTTCCAACACTAGCGAGAAAATAACATTATGATTACCTAATTTGCTAATTTCCTCCCAGTTACTCGCCTTTTTTAGGGTTTCAAAGCCTATCCCCCCAATCCCAGTAATCTTCCCCAAATTTCCCGTCGATCCCCATCTTTTCGGATTTCCGCAATATTCCCCTTTACACCCCCTCCCAGCTCCGAATAAGTGATAAATAATTCCGGTGGCGAGATTCCCCTCCTCCTCTGCGCTTTTTCCGTTGCTCCCCGAATCCACTCTGCTCCCCTTTTTCCTGCATTCCATTCCGAAAATATACATATTTCGTCTGGAGCAGCGGTCGGGGCAAATGGGTCCCGCAGCGCTTCCCCAGCCGGTGTGTAATAATTTGTCGGAAATGTTCGGCGCGGGGGGATTTTTGGGAATTTTGCCGTTTCTGCGATGGTCGAGCGGGAATTCGCCAAACTGTCCCGTTTCCGGGGATTTGAGAAACGAAGGGGACAGGGTCATCCTTTAGCGAATTTGCGTCATGGAGAAGTCATGATTGAGACTACAGTAAGCATCGAGGAAACATCAAGCGGTCTGATAAGTTTTTAGGACCTTTGGCAGTGAGCAAAACGGACTAAAAATAATCCTCTCTCGCTCTCTCTCTCGCGCGCGCTCTCTCTCTCTCTCTCTCTCTATCTTGCTCTCTCCAATACTGCGACATGGAGCGCGACCGCTCGCGTAAACGATTCTCATACCATTGGCATCAAAAAGACCAACCTGACACGCGCATACTTCGCCGAAGCCACCCTTTCCAAGCACGCGATACAACCGAAACGTGTGCTTATCCACGGGCCGCTCTTCTAGCCATTTCCATTGCAAATACCGTCGGAAGTACGGCGATTCCAGAAACTTCTTAAACGGGACGTCGGCGAGGAAGTTTCGGACGAGTCTGAAAATAGGACGTTATGCCAGAAAGTCTTCATGGATTTATGGCAAAGTTTTACCTAAAAGGTGGCACTAGACTTACTTATAACTCTCGGAAAAGATCTCCGATCCGGGCTCTGGTTCTTGGACTGCCGAGTCGGCTGCAGCCAGGACCCCTTGCACCGCTTCTTCGGGCAGGTATGACCACCACGACTCTTCGGTGGAAGACTAAAATTAATTGCGTCTTAGCCGATTTACACGTCCATTATTTGGCACCCTAGAAAAATCCTAACATTAATAAGACAAACCGAGGGGATAACATCAAGATTTGTCGCCAGCAGATTTGCAATGGCTTTCGCCAGATTTCTTCTCGTCTCGCCGTCATCGTCGGACGTTTCGTACTCCTCGATCTGAAAGAAAAAGGTTTCAAGTTTTATTTGTTTAAAGTTAATAAAATTGTCCAATCTGGTCATAATGCCGGCAATGAGAGCCCGCCCAAAATGCCGACACACAGAAATGTCGACATTCATAAGGTTAATTTAGATGCAAAGAACATTGTCAATGCATTTTGGCTACTTGTCAAATCTCACATCACCCATTCACCCGGTGAATTTATTTATTTTATTTTATATTCCGATTTGCCTACCTTATTTAAAAAATTGCAGCTTTGCCCATATTGATGCGTTGCCTGGCTAAATTCTTGGAAGAGAAGCTTCCCGATCGGCTGCTTCTCCACGACGTACCCATATCTGGAAATGATCTTTAGATATTGTTACCATTTTCTATAATATTTTTTCCAATTTAGCCGATTATTTTATTCATCTCCATCCCAGACCTTTGATTTTTGTTGCCCGTGCCTTTTTCAGATTCAAATTAGCATCACGGGCCTGGGGGGGGGGATACTTTTGAAGGCCGGAAAAAACGGCGTGGGCGGGGAAAGCATTGATTCTCCGGGGTGGGAGACGTCCCGAGGGGATACGAAAATAGATACGAGGGCAAATTGCCCTCCTTCGAGGTTTGGCTAGTCATCGTTTAGAGAAATTGAAATCAGGAACGAATAATCCGAAAAACCCGCTACCAAAATGATGGTTTAGACGAAAGAGAGAGAGAGGAGGAGAGAGAGAGCGAGAGAGAGAGAGAGAGAGAGAGAGAGAGAGAGAGGGAGAGAGAGAGAGATGGAATGAATGCTCGCGTTTCCACTGTCCCTTTAGACCGACAAATATTGACACTTTCTTCTACAAGAGTAACCAATTACACGACCAATTCAACTTCCATACCTTCACCAGCCCTTCAAATTCTACAATCTCGTAAAACATGGAAGGCAATCGATTACGCCATTAAAATGCATTGCCCTGCCATCACTCTCCCTTTTCAGAGCGAAAATTTGATGCCAGCGCCCCAGGATGGGTTCAAATACAGCATTAAAATCCACGTTCCTTGCTTCACCGAGTTTTTCGAATGAGCACTCCCATAAACCATCCAGGAGTAATCGATTACGCAACCAAAATCCACCGTCTCTGCCTTCAGAACCCCCTCGAAAACCGCTCTCCTGCTTACACTTTCCCAGAATAACCCTTCCTAGCCAATTTGCCCCCATCCCCCATAAATCGACCCAAAAAATCAAAGTCTGCCCAGCCCTCCCCCCCCCCTCATCCGGGGCATGGTTGGTGGGCCCCAAATTGGGCCCTTCACCGCCTGCATAAGACTAGCGGGGGGATCGGGGGGTTCATGGTCGCCCTTCCAGGGATAATTGGTCGTAAGAAACCGGCAATTCCGGTGGCCTTCCCCTGGTTGGGGGCCCTGATAGGGGTTGCCAGTTTGTAAATGGTACTTGTTGAAGGTGACTTAGGGCATAGCATCAGGCCGATTCCGATCTATACTGTGCAGGAGAGGTGTTAAAGGGACTACGAAGGCAAGGGGAAAGGCCGTTATGGTGGAAGTCCGAAAATTTTCATTATCATCATAAGACGTTGTCGACTATCCTCAAGGGGGATTTATTCGTTATTAAACAAAAGCGATAGAAAAATTGGCGATTAAAGGGCCGTTGAAGGCACATGATAGATCCTTCCTGTATCGACGCATTAATAAGCTATATTCTGATTTCAGAGGAGACCGAAAAATTTCTCCTCCTGGACTTTCCGCTCACTCTGCCATCCCTTTAAAATGAAGTCATCATCGAAAATCGGGAAAATAAGTTGAAATTTTGATGGCAAAAATGCCTCCAAGTGAAGAGGTTTGTCGTTAAACTAGCTTTGTCTATTTCTTGGAATCTTCACTTGTCGGGTTTTTAGCTCTTCGGCGTTTTGGCTTGCCGAGCTTTTCGCTCTTCGGTATTTTTAAAAGCCAGACGCCCGCAGGTTCTTATAGCAATTTGTTCTCAGTTTTCCCAGATTTTTGAGTTCTTCTTTTTTGTTTCATTTTCCAAAAATTAGCTTCCATCTGCCATTTCTGGACATATTCATATCTCTGCTATTCGCAACACCTAACGAGCCGTGCCCTCAACAAAAATTCGAGAAGCCCATTCGCCCCGCATTGGGTATTTGAGTATTTGTGGAGAGGAGCAGCGTCGCCGGAATCCCCATCCAGCGCTTCCTTTCGACGCCTCATTACTGCGACCGAGCCACTGGGTAGAGTATTGCCAAGAGGGGGGTTCGTTCTCCGGTTCGGGGGCCCCGGGGGGCAAAACTTTGGCTACACAGGGACACCCGAAAAAGTGCCTCCCAAAAAGTTGTGTACCGCTTGTGCGGGCGAAACCCGAAAGTTCAAGGGGGAAGCGGAAGCCACACGTATGGTGGGGTTTAGGCTCAAAAAGGTGATGGCGAACGTGACATTTTGAAATCTTAAAAACGCTAAAAATTGCATCTCGTGTACGATTAGACCTAGGTTTTTACTGTCACACCAGGGTTGAAAAGCCGCTTCGCGTCTTTTCAAACCTGGCCCCGTCTCGGACCCCATACTATTCGGCCCTTTGCATACTTGTCCTCGATTCAGAAGACAAAAAAAATGAAAAACAACCCTTTCTGCCTCTTTATATACACAACCGCCCACTTCCGGTCTATGCTAATTCTTCCTAACAAAGAGGTTTTTACAAAGACCTAAATTTAATAGCGAAAATGGCTAATTTTTAAAAATCTGATATGTGTGCAGTCATCCCTAGACCATTACGCACCTAATGACGTATCATACGTAGCTTATCACCCCTCGCCGCTTGAGATATCCTCCGGACAGACAGACGGAAGTGGATGCAAAGTGGCACACACACAGACCCACACACAGACACTATTTTTTATATATAGTAGAATAACCTGCAAGGAGAGAGAGAGAGAGACAAAGAGAGAGATGGAGAGAGATGAAGAGAGATGAGACAAAGAGAGTGGTATACTCGCTACGTTTTCATTGTCAGTCGACAGTTACGTGATAGGGACAGTAACATCTAGAATCTATTTTCAAAGACAGTTCAATTTTCAACGTTTCCCTGATTACTTCCTGTAATTTTACACACATCATCTTACATTTTTAGCAATGGAACGAAGGAGAACCGAGTTAATTAATCCGGCGGCGGAACGGCCTCCCGAATGGCTGTTCGGCGCCGTTCTTTTTCCACATTTTACATGTCGTCGCGGGAAATTTGGCGATGGATAATTCCGGGGAGGTCAGAGTATTGAAACGCGGTGTTTGGCAATTTTTTATCCAAAAAACCGCAAACCCGCAAACCGTATCCTCAATCCACGATTTTCAAGCGTTTTTAAGTCCAAAAAGTTACCTCTCTAGGTCCCCAACTTACCCAACCTACTTGGGCGCCCCCATTTTTTTTGGCGTGGCCAGGCGGGCAGACTTTTCGCCGTGGGTGCATACTAATGCCTTGGGCCCCAGGTCCCCTGCCTGCCAGTGGCCCACTACTGGGCCCTCGTCGAGAATTCGCGCGCGCCCGTCCCGCTGGACCCCCCATTTGTATGCACAACGAGGAAAAATGGGGGACCTCCTTCTTGCTTGGGTCTCAGAAGGAGGAGGAGAAAGAGGTGGAGGAGGAGGAACCCCGGAACCCTTCGGCCCCCATGTTGTCACTTTTTAGCCTCAGCAGGAAAAAGTGTGGGCAAGATGGATTTGGGCAGGGCGAGAGGTGCGCAAGCTGGTTAGCTGGGGAAGCGAGAAATAGCGAATATCTAAGGCTTTGTTCAGGATTTTGATGGATTTTGTAAGACGTCAAAAGTAATTGATTACGTTAGACGTAGATCACCCTAAAATCGGATCCTAAAATGCGGAAAAACATTTCGAAGCCAGCTGAGTCGATATTTTGCCAGAAAGGCTTGGTAAAATTATCGTAAAATAAATTTGCATACAAATCTGCGGTTAGAAATAAATGATCAGATTTAATCTAGGCCGCTTAATTTGCTTTTTTTCTGCTTTTTCAAAGCCCTATTCTTCGTGTGCAATTTTATAACATTTCAGTACTTTTCGGAACGCCTCAACTTCCTTCCTGGTCCCTCCTTCGCGCCAAAAACTAGGGTTGTTTCTCGGAACAGGCCGAGATTCGGAACATTCGGAACAGCAACCGTTCCGACTGTTCCGAATGTCGGAACGTTCCGAGATTCGCGTGTTCCGGCTGTTCCCGAGATTCGGAACATTCCGAGATTCAAATGTTGCGGTTGTTCCGAGATTCATATTGTTCCGACTGTTCCGAGATTCGGAACGTTCCGAGATTTGGCTGTTCCGACTGTTCCGAGATTCGGAACAGTCCGAGATTGAGCTGTTCCGAGATTCAAATTTTTTCGCATGTAAATTTCCAAACACGACTGAATTTCGATTCGATTCAATCCCCAATTCGTTCTGATTTCCTTAATTTCCAGATTCGATATCTAAAGATCGACGGAATTAAGTGTGCAGTTGCACCCACACTGCCGTGGGACGGCCAAATCGAAACATTTACATGCAATCTACACGATTTACATGAAATCGAAATTTACATGCGAAAAAATTTGAATCTCGGAACAGCTCAATCTCGGACTGTTCCGAATCTCGGAACAGTCGGAACAGCCAAATCTCGGAACGTTCCGAATCTCGGAACAGTCGGAACAATATGAATCTCGGAACAACCGCAACATTTGAATCTCGGAATGTTCCGAATCTCGGAAGAGCCGGAACACGCGAATCTCGGAACGTTCCGACCAGTCTTTGTTCCGAAAGTTCCGAATCTCGGTCTGTTCCGAGAAACAACCCTACCAAAAACCCCGAAAAAACCACCCAAACCCTGTGCCAAAAGGCGTGCCCCCTAGGTTTCCAGGGCTGTAAAGTGAAATGGGATATTATTTTCCGCAGGACCCTGAGTAGCTCTTCTTTGACTCCCGGGGAGCAAGAGGGCCATCTGCCCGGGCCAGAGGGTGACAAAAAATGTGTTGCATAGCCGCCCGGGCGGTGCGTCAATTCGGGCCGGCGAAAAATGGCCATCAGCCGGATCAACTGGGGGTGGCTAAAAATAGTGGCTTGAGCTGCTAAACTAAGCGCTACTGGGGGCGACAGGTGGCGCAGAGGGGAGGATGATCATGAAGTACGCAAGTTGGTGCTCAAAATAGGGATGAACTTCCGGGAGTTTGAATTGACTGTGTGACTGTCGTTCACTGGCGTTCTCTCTCTCTCTCTCTCTCTTTCTCGCTCGCTCTCGCTATATCTCTATTTCTCTGTCTCTTTCCCTGTCTTTGTCTCTCTCACTTTCTCGCTCTCTCTCTCTCTCTCTCTCTCTCTCTCTCTCTCTCTCCTTTTGCTATTTAGGACGCATTTTTTAACGTTCTAAATACTATTTTTTCACTTTCTAGATACACGAGTTGTTTTTCAACAAAATTCTCGCCCCTTTCGCGTAATTCCCTCGCCCGGCAACTCGTTTCGCAGCGGCCCTCCCAGCCGGGGCACGAGTGCGGCTTATCAGATTTTTTCAGCGGGCCGGCTGAAGGCTTGGAGCAAGCCCGCGTGTGTGTGAATACCACCCACCCGAAAAAGGATTGATAGTCATCGATTCACGTGTGGTTTTTCCGGGCGCATATCGGAAACGACAGGGCGACACTTTACGACGTGTTCGCGTCGTTTGGAAAAAAAGGCGGACAGCTTGGATTCGTGGGGCTGCATAGAGAGGCGCCAAAAGACTAGGGATTCAAAGGTAGGTATAGGGCGTAATTTGTAATTTGACGGAATGTTTGAAAAACACGGGAATTTTTAGCATAAAAAATTGCCGCTTCGCTAGGCAACTCTCAAAATTGAGAGCCAAAGGCTGGGATAATTTATGGTTATTAACTATAAATTTAACTAGCCTTGGAGCTTTGCTACCGGCAAAATAATAGATATTATTTTAATTGCGTAATGCATTAAACTTTCTTCTGGCTTCGAACGTTGCGTATAAAAATAACGTCCAAAAATCGCTCGGCAATATATAACATACTAAAAACTATAGTTAGGTCCTTTGATTTACTTTAATTAAATTTATAATGATATTTTTCGAGTCCGAAAAACCCCAAATTCGCTGATAACATCGAAAAATTCCCAGTACAGTCCGCCAATTCCGCTCGAACTTTCTGTACTCCCTCTCACTCCCGTTAAAACAATAATCGCTCTCCTCGCCTTGTTTTCCCCCCCAAAACCCCCCAATAATCGATTGGTTTCGCGGTGACCCCGGTGGTGTTGGTGATGGTAGTGGATCGAGAGGCGAGCGGGGGTCGGGGGTGCGGCTTTGCACACTTTTCGAGAGCCTCCAAGGCCCCCTGGAAAAAAGGGCAAAAAGGAAGAGCACACGACCACAAATCACCGGACGGATCCACCCCCAAACAGCATAGGGTCAAGATGGCCAATGAATGGGCTTGGGGTGGGCACCCAGCCCAAATGTACTCGTTGGGATTGATTGATTGGGGGGAGTCGAACGGCTTCAAAAAGTTTGAAATATCAAAAAGCATTCTTTGAAAACCGTCAAAAACTTTTGCGGGCACAGGAATGTTTCGGAATTTGCACAAATTTATAGAAATTTGCGTATGTCAGAGGGGCTAAAACAGGCTTCAATTTTTCTGAATTTTCCGCTTATGATAATGATAATTTACATAGTATAGTCTCGCATTGTACTACACTCAAAAATTCTGAGCTCACAAAATCAAAATAATACAAATTTAAAGGTTAAAATTGGCTTTAAAATGTTTTGAAAATAAAAACTAGCTTTGCTGCTTAACATTTCAAAAATTAAAAATTATGATATGGTTTTTTTAGGTAGGTATTCTTAATCTAGGTATTCTAGGCCCATTTTGAAGCGTGGCGTGCGCGTTGCGGTCACACCGGATGGGGAATTACATGGCATGTACGTTTCTAAGTAACTCCTATTTTATGCACCACGAATTTTTATCTGTAATCGATCACTAGGTAAGAATTCTTTTTTTTAAAGGCCATAGCAATTCAATCAAAGAAATGTTTTCGTTTCTCACAATTTTTCCTGAGCAGTTCAACCCTCAGATGCCCCGGAACCCCGAGCTTTCATCCCCCTTTCCCCGCTCAATCACGCGCATCCGACGAACGAATAAAACGGCTAGATAAAGCTCTTTCCCCGCTTTATCATCCCTTGCCCCTGAAAATTCCGTGCAAATACTATTTCCGGGATTTCGGCCCGGGGGGTGGGAGGGCGACGGGCGTTTCGCTCGCCGGGGTCTGCTCTCTCTCTTTTCCGGGCCGATGGCCCCTCGTTGGGCCCTTAGTCGATTCTTATTTTGCGCCCTTTTGGCGGGAGGGCCCCGTAAAAGAGAAGGAGGCGCAAAAAAGGGGGTGGAAGGGCCCTGTGTCGGTCTGTCGGTCGGTCGGGGGCCAGGGCCTTCTAATGCACCCCGGAGGGCACACGATGGGACCCAGGGACCATGGCCCCCAAGGAAATTGCCATTTTTTGCCGGGGTTTGATGGGATTCGTGTCTGGGTGGGTGCGGCGTGCGCGTGGCAACTCGTGCCATTCGTATATGATGTAGACAGATTTTTCTACCATTTCACGGTTTTGGGAATTTTTCTATTTCGTGGTTTTGAACACACTTTTTTGGCATGGCTGATGTTCTTAGGACAAAACCTGTAGTTTGTAGTGCTAAGCTCAAAAAATAACGATATCACGGGTTTTTTCTGGGAATTATGCCTATCTGGGGCTTTTCCGTTTTCCGAGGCGTTATTTGGGCCCAAAAACGCCCTTTGTACGATTTTTGACGCTCCGGCATGGAAAGTAATAGAATTTGGCGCCGAAAAACGGATCTCCGGCTAACAACTAGGTCAAAAATTAGGGCCAAACCAACGCACTTTTCCAGGTCGCGTTGTAACTTGGTATTTTCTAGCAGGAAAGTATCGGAACCAGGTCAAAAATCTGATCAAAAAATACGTAACTTTCCAAAACGCCAACGTCATCATCAATTTATAGGAAAGTGATGTTATCGTTTAGAACACTCCAGAACTCACTTAACTATGTTACTCTCCAACCGACGTTGCCAGGGTCGAAACCTAGTTAATTGACGTTCGCAAAACTTCATGCTACAAGAAAGGTCAAAGCACCGGAAGCGGGCAGGTGAAAAAGTTGAGGTAGCCGAGGGGCCCGGGGATGAAATATGAATATTTGATGGGAAGGAAAACGGAAATGGGAGCGTAACGGAGATATCGATCGGGAGGATGTGGATATAGAATGCTGGAAAACCTATCATTCATGCATAAATTAACCCCAAAACGGAAGGAAACCCGAACACTCACGTCGAATCGATTTCCCCCTTGAGGTAGAGGCATTCGGTGTAGTGCGGGAACTGGAGGTAATTTTTCCACTTCTTGCTTTTGCCCTTCTTCTGGCCACCGCCTGGAAAAAATTGTTATAAATTATTTATGAAATTTGTAATTTGTAATTCAATTAAATTTTTGCTACAAAAATTTCTGCGCGATTTCCGATTTTTGAGCTTCTAAGCCTTCCTATTCCGACGAATTTTTTCACATCCGGCACCCCATGCCAAAAATACTGCCCCCACAAAAACCCCCCACCCGACCCTAAATTTTCGTGTCGAATTTGCACAGCCCTTCACCCTCCGCCGAGTGTGGCATCAAACAACCGCACAGGGCGAGTCGCGAGCCCCGGCTGAGCTGTTGCTCCCCCAATTTCCCAGTCAGCACCGGCTGACTCAAAAACAGAAAACCGAAAATGAATCGCGGGGCGAGAGATAGAGCGAGAGAGAGAGGGAGAGAGAGATGCATTGGGTTCGCCCGGTACATCCCGCGATGCGATTTCCGCATCCCGAAAAAGCGAAACACTCAAGATCCGAAAAGTCACAAACTCTGAGAGGAAATTGTGATGATTTTCGGGTTCAAAAAGGGGAAAAAAATACGTTTAAAGCTATTTTTTTAACCGCAAGCGGATTTTTAAATCCCGCAAATTAGCCCTAGCAATTCACCCGCCCAAACGATATTCTGGGTTTTGAAATCATGATTTTGAAATGTATTTAAATTTTTTAAATTTTTCTAGATAAAAATCCGCCAAAAATGCTTTTTCAAAAATCGATAAAAAACCCACTCTCTCGCGCCTTAATATAGACAGTGTTGGCGACGATATTCTCGATCTCCATCGCCTGGCCCGGAATACGGTGAAAGACGCGGAAATACTATCTACGCCCGGTCGGCCGCAACATCCGGCTCCCCAAAACACGGGCCGCCCGAGCCCCGGCAGGCAGCAGCTGTGTGACAGCGGCTGTGGTACAAGTGAGGGCCGGCCGAGCAGCTGAAAAATATAATTTTGACAAGCAAAGTAACTTTTTAGAGCGTTCGGAAGTCCCGGGAATTGAAGAACAGGTGGGAAATGGGGGCGGAAAACGTAATAAGTTTATTTCCGAATTTTCCGGATTGCAGAAATCGTACGAAAAATGGAATTAGGATAGTTTCGTAATTCTGGTAATAGGAGAAATCACACCAAAATGAAACTAATATCTTTCCGGAATGCCAAGAGTCGCGAAAAAAGATAAAAAACGGAATACATATCTTTCCGCAATTCCGGAACTAGCAGAAGCCATGTTCAAACCATGGCTTCAAAAAACGCCGATAGATAGACGCAGATAACGCCGACATTGGAAAACAAAACATTTCAGAAATGACCAGGAAAAGTCGAATAATTAGCTTTACGGAATTCCGGAAGTTGCGGATATCAGATAGCAGCTCAAAATTCGTTTAAAAAATTGCCATAAATATTTTTCAGGAATTCTGCGGCTAGAAAACCAGCCACACTGATAAAAAAATCGCTGCAAAATTCCCCCGGTACCACCCGGTGACGTTTGAACTTTCGATGAGAGGGTGCTTGAGAAATTGGAGTGTGAAAAACCGATGGGTGGCTCTCGGCAATTTGTCTCGGCCCGACAAGGCCGTAGTTACGCGCCGATTTTTTTTTTGAAAAGTACAAAAGCTGTTTTGTAATCGAAAATTGGCATGAATTAGTCGGGAGTTAAAGGCTAAATATCGAAATTCGAGCCGGAAGATGTTTATTTATCGCTGAAAGGCATATCTGACTCTCGAGTCCATATTGGGTGCATTAAACGGTCAATTTGAAGCCGAAAAAATATTACGACTGATTTATGCATTAACAAATAATATCCAACCTAAAATTTAAATTTTGGAAAAAGACAAAAACTTAAAACCTACAAAAAAAATTATTTAGCATTTTTCAAAGCTATGATAACTTTCAACCTAATTTACGGTTAAATCGATACTCGCAAAAAAAATCTGAAAATTCAATATCTGCTATGATAAAAAGAAACTATAGCCGCTTTTTTATAAAGTCTGCCAATCCAGATGAACAAAGCGATAAGTCTTTTAAGCAACTACCACTGCTACCTCCCTAATTTCGAGCTTTCCTCAAAACATCCAACCTCAAAAATTCTTGGCACAAAAACAGCAAAACACACCCCCAGCACCCAGAGGTTTGACTGCCGAATCCCAAGAATAGGCGCAATTAGGACCCAGAGCCCGGCCGGAAAAAATGGGTCCTAAAATGGGCCCTAAGATGCGTCCTAAATAAAATAAGCTATAAACGAAGGCTCCGGGCGATAGCATAAAATCAGAATCCGGACAAATTGACAGCATGTAGCGCCCCGGGGGGTGGGTTGCATAGCCGCCGAAGAAATGGGCCCTTCTGAGGGCGGGGGCCCAAGGGCCCTGGGCCCTCTGCGGGCCCTCTGGACCGGTGTGTGCGTCTGTCTGTCTGTCGCTCTGTGTGTGTGCATGTCGGCGAGCCGGGGCTAGAAGAAGGGGGAGGGCTGGGCAGGGCAGCATGATACACGCGCCGGCGAGAGAGACGGAGAGAGAGCTAGAGAGAGAGAGAGAGAGAGAGAGAGAGAGAGAGAGAGAGACGATCCTCGGGAGCATAGAATAGGAAAGTGAGCGCACCTCTCCGTTTCCCTGATGCTCCCATGCACGCCCATCACTCTCCCGCCCCTTTGATCTTTTCTCACCCTCCTTTAGGCGTCTCCTTTTCCTGGTTTCTCTCAAGTCCACGTTTCCCACTTTTCTCACCTACCTCTTGTCCGTCCGGGGCCTAACCTCTCGACTCCCTAGGCTTCTCTCTTCATCTGGGTCGCTTTAGCTTCCTCCATTCTCGCTTCAAATTCTCCCCTTTCTCTTACACTCTCGATTTTCGTCTTTTTTCTCTCGGCCTCGGATCTCTAGTCGACGCTACACGCCTCTAGACGCTAGGGGAAGCGCGGTATTTCGTGGCGGCCTTTGCCGTCTGAGCCCTCCCGCCTGGCCCCTATCTCTAACTTCAAGCCCTTTCCTGCCACCCGGCTGCCTTGGTTTCACGAATTTATCTTGGCTCTCTCTCTATCCCTTTCTCAAAATTCTTTACTCTCTCGCTGCCTCTCTCTCAGAATCAATTATCTCTGGCCCTGGGCCCTTTTGTTGGCCCTCTCAGGGTGCCTTATCTCTGGTTACCCGCTTCTCAAAACCTCTGCGAGGGCCACGGTTCCCTCACCGCTTTTTCGATTGTGCTCTCTCCTCTCTGGTGCTGTCTCGCTTCACCGGCGCACATCAAGCTTCTCCTCTAAAATCTGGTCGTCTGGTTTCTCTTGTTCTCTGGATTGATAGTCTCTCTCTCTCTCTCTCTCTCTCTCTCTCTCTCTCTCTCTCTCTCTCTCTGTCTCTCTCTCTCTCTCTCTCTCTCTCTGTTTCTCTGTCTTTCTCTTTCCCTCTCTCGCCCTCGTTGTCGTGATTTCCGGGCCGGGGGCACCAACCGGGAATCCGCGTTCACACAGCCACCCTCCACCCATTTGGAATATCCATTGAATCGATCCGCTAGGGCCCAGAGCATCAGATGGGCCCCTTGCTATCTCTCGCCCTCACTCACGCTCTCTTCCCCCTCCGTCCCTCTCGCCCCCCTATCCATTCCCCCTTTCTAACGAGGCGACTGGGAGAGGCCGCAACGCGGCGCTCCTCGCGACACTCCAAGTATTCTTGGCCGTTTGCCAAGGGAAAGGGGAGGAGAGTCACCGCCGATTTACAAGTCGTACAGTTTGGGTAGGGGGAAAGCGTTATCTTTCCATATTTATGCCTGAAAAATTGTACTTATCTTGGCGTTTTTTTTTGCTGGCTTTCAGCCGCTTATCAAGTTGTGGTTGCACAAAAAGCGTTAGGCTCGCTAGTAAATTGGCTAGATTAGCGGTGGAATCGATACTTTTCGTGATAGGATTCTAGAGAAGTATTATACTTTATACTTTATATGGTTTATAGGATAGAATCCGTGATCTGAAGAGCATCTAAACATATTAAATTTACTAAAAAATACTTTTCCGAACCTTTTTTGAACATTTGTTTATCTATATTTCGATTACTTTATATAATTGAGACTTCGCTTTCTAAAATAAATTAAATTTACATCGATTTGAGACGCCTTAAAACGTTATTAAAGACATGTAATCTTTTTTACAACATTTTTCCATTGTTGCAAACTTACCGCTCCAATCGACAACTTTTCAGACGCCCCGCTCAAATGCTAGCCGAAGATTAAGTGCCTCAACTTCCATATTTCTAAATTTCTATTTAATAAAAAATGGCAAGTACCGGCGCCTCGGCCGCCCTCCACTATGTGATCTACCGGGATTCGAACTGCACAAATGATGCTGTATGCCGAGAGGTGGTGGAAGAGACGAAGGATCACGTTTGGACACGGGAGGGGATGCTGTTGAGTTCGAATGATGGTAATTAGACTTTAGAGGCTCTTTAAATGTCGAAAATCGACCCCTTCTTGTAACTGGGTCTCGTCAAAAGCCTGGAGCATTAACCGACATCATAAACGGAATAACCGAATAACCTTTTTTTACGCTTTGGGACTGTCAAGATCTAATCGAGGTGGAGGTCGAAGCTCGCGTTGCTAAGTCTTTAAATTTCTATAAAAATTTTAAATCACAAAATCTAAGAGTATTTTAAACAGAAGCTAGAAACTACAAACCATCCCATCAAAAACTACACCTTGTTAAGGTTATTCCGGCTTCTACTCCCAGCACGGCAGCTCCCGGGTCCTCAACACACCTATGGACCTATGGAAAGTCGTCAACGTCCTCTTCCGGCTCAGCGAAAAGTTTGAGGGGCTGGTTTTTAGGTAAAAGCAAGCCAGTTATGTCAATTCATCGAATTTTAGCATTGCGACCGACGATGAGAAGCAAAATCCCTTTTACCAGGAGTGCGAAAAGAACGAGGTGTTGCCAAAGTGGGCTACCGTACCCGGGTTGTTTACGAAAAAGGTGGGAATATCAGGTTTTTGACGTTTTTTGGGATTACGGTGGCTTGCTAAGACCGAGGTGTCGAAGACTTCTCTGCCTCTTAAAAATCGCGAATCTAGGTATACGGTTGCGGCGGTGTCCTCCACTGTATCACCCCGGAAGTGACGGCGGCCAATCCAAAAATGCAAGGTGTTGAGGTTAGCTATTTAGAACCTTATAGCTACAGCATGCCTTGCCATTTTTGTCAATTTTTTTGAAAGTAAAGTCCATATTTTCAAGCGGTTTTATTGCCCCTAAACCCTCTAAATTTTTCAGATTGTCCGCAAACTCGGCCGGCAAACGCGGAATATTCTGGTGACCGAGGCCGTCCAGCAGCGGATATTTTTGGCCAAGCAGAAGCGCTTTGGGATGAATCGGTGGGAGTTTTGGCTCTATGTGTTAAGCTGCTTAGCTTTTAAAATAAGCTGAATTGAATTGAAAGCTCGATTTTAGAACTGGTGTAAGCTTGCCTGAAGAATTTGCATATATCGCAAGACAGCGCCCAGATTTGCTTTCAAAAGCGATCCGGGAATTCGGAGATGAAGAATTTGACGAGGTAAGTGAAAAAGAAGAGTTAAAGGGAAAGAGGGAGGGAAAGAAAGAGAGAGACAGCGAGAGGCAGAGCAGTAAAGAGGTATCTTTCCCTTTTTCAGCAGCTTACCAAGAAGCTCGATCGACTCGAAAAAGTCATGGTCCACGTCGAAATCTGCGAGCCGGATTTTAAGGTATCTTGAACTTTCCGGTTCCAAATTAACTCTAATTTTTTGCAGAAGGTGAGAATGACGACGGTAACTGTTTTTATCAAAATTCACGCATACATTGGCTTACCCACGTGGCCTGTTAGTAGCGCTCAAACGTTTCCGCTTTTTTCCAAAGAGCATGCTTGCATCAAAACCTTTCGATAATTTTCTCTAAAAGTTTAAATTTAGAAATTTAAGGTGGTGACCGCACTTGCCGATATCGACGGGCCGGCAGATATTGTTTCCTACCGAATTGGGCACGTGCTGCTGGCGCTCGACGAAAAATATGCAAATTACCAGAACGGGGTGCTGACGCCGGAGGATCAGCTGTATAGGAATATTGTGGGTTGTTGTTAGATCTTTAAAATCAGTAAAATGAGTCGTTTTAAAAACATTGAATCTTTTGCGAGCTTTGAATTTTCCAGGCTTTTCAAGCTTTAAATAAATGCAAGAATTAACTTTAGTTTTCCGGCTTTAAGCACGTCTATACAGCTATCTTTTTCCTTGTAAGAGTACCGTGAAAACGCGATTTTGCCCACTCGCCGTTAATTATTCTGGCACGAATTCGCCGCTTCGGGCTTTTTTCTCTGATTTTCAGGAGGCAGTTTGGCGTTGAAATTTGCACAACGCAAATCATAGTCTTCATGGCTTTTCAGAAGCCTTAATTCTGAAATCCTAGGGTTTTAAAAGCTATATTATGATGGATTTTTAGGAAGATGGCTTCGAGCGTGATCGCCTCTCGGCTCTAGCGTTGGCTTTAGCAGGCCAGAAGGTCTCCACCGCGCACCAGTATCAAATGGCAAAATCGCTCGTCACGGAGGCACATCGTCAGATTTGTAGGAATATTTTTAGAGGTATGGATTTTCCTTAAATAGCGATAAAAAAATTTACATTTAGAATCGGCGGAATCTTCTACAGATACCAGAGATACAGCTTGTTCTGGCGATGATGAAGATCAACTTCCGGCCGAGAGGAATAAGAACCGGAAACAGGTAATCATCATTTCTGGTTTTTAGAATCCATCTTTGTCCAGGTCTACAAGAAAAAGAAGGATCGCCCGGATCTTGGAAAGAAACGAACCCTAGCACCCCTGAATCTGAAGAAGCTGATCCCGTAAGTCCTAGTCCCCCCTGGCAGTTTGCCTTTTTAGTGACGCTCCTCCAATCGACTTTGACATGGAGCTCGAGACCCCGACGACGTCCTCACAATTCAAGAACTTTGAGCGAGCCGCAAACGGGGATGATGCCTTCTACAAGGAGAGCAGCGAGGGTGTTAGCCTGGGGGAGGAGGAGGTGAGTAGGAAATCTGATATTTCTTGAAACACCAAATAGTCTTAATTTCTCTCGATCCTAAACACACTTGAAGAATCTAATTCTGACGCATCTGTATAACGGAACATTGCGTAGTCGAATACGCGACGACGCCGTGATACTATCGACATTATCACCTGTGTCCCTGTGTAGGCACATTCTCTCTCCCGCTCTCTCTCCTCTCTCTTCTCTCTCTCTCTCTCTCTCTCTCTCTCTGTCTGTCTCGTTTTCTCTCTGTTTCCCTCTCTCTCACGCTCTCTCTCTCACCCTCCATATCGCGCCTAACGAATAATTTTTGAAGGGCATAAAAACTGCTTGCCTTTTCAGGAACTCGAATTCTTTGCCACGCGGAGCAAGACCTCCAAGCCAGCGTTCCATGAGAAAATGCCAAGCCCCCGCCCCCTCTACGTCCGTGCCCCGGTCCTCGAATCCGATGACGGCTTCGATTTGGCCGATATTTTGAGCGCGGCTCCACCTCTGGCAGCTAACGATGAGGAGTTTGACGACATCTAGGTTACCAGATTTTCTTTGTATCAAAAATTGCTATTTTGGTATGTTTCTAGAACGTGACAAACTGCTCACATGACATTTCTGACGCTTCTATTTCCTTATTTTCTATTTTTCTAATTATCCTGTTCCTATTTATCTATCCCCTCCTAACACTTTCCGAAACTGTACTTTCCACACCTTAAAAAGCATTTCTTTTTTTGACATTTCCGTTTTGATTTCCTTTCTTCTTCTCCTTTTCCAGTCCTTCCTGATATTTGCGCTACGGCTAGCCTGATACTAGTACATAATAATTTAATTTATTCTACAAAAAGCTTAATTTTCTCAGTATTTTTTGGCTTAACTTAAGGTATCTGAACTTTAAATCATACTTTTAAAGCATACTTTAACCCCCCAAATTTGCCATTTTCACACGTGCTAACCCCCACATTTTTGAGCTTTCAAAAACTGCTACACAACTTTCCGCACTTCCCCTTCTTGTCATACCTGCGAATCAATTTTGGCACTGTTAAAGGGACGGGCAAGGCTTGACCAACATTTTGCTCGCCGTCGATGGATTTTTCGAAGCCGCAGCACGCTACGCATAGGCTTGCCATTACATGCCGTGATGGATTAGGGTAGCTGGTAGCGCGTTGCGTGTTGCCCTAATGCGAAGTGGCCTCGGTAGCGTATCGCGATCTGCGGCCTTGTGCGTTGTTTGTCGCACGTCGCGGTCAAGCGTCCCCCGGGTCGCGTATGGCGTTTTGCAGGATTACGTTTGCGCCTTGCGTTTCGCGCGTTGCGGTCAAGCGTCCGTGCGCGTTGAGTGTCGCGTTCAAACGCTGAAAGGCGAGCGCGTTCCGTGTCGCATGGCCCAGAATAACCTATGTAAAAAAATCCATCTTAGTGCCTTGCCAGTCCCTTTGATCCTAATCTCTTTATAGTTTTTATAACTTTGTTTGTACAACTGTCTTGACCATTACCAAACTCTGAGATTGCCTACCCCTACGACGTGCTATACCTATTTCATCCGAACCAAAAAAATTCGAATCGCCCAAGTTCTGATGGCCTTTCAAAAAGCAGCTCCGGTTCCTAGTATAATTCAAAAGAAACCTTTTTTATACATTTTTTGTTGTCAGCGCACTAATGACAATTTACTGCCCCGCCTAGTCGCACCCAGGTTTTGAGCTCTCAACCACTACGCCTTATTACTAGCTGCTTTAACAAAGAAGTAGATGCGGTTTTGTGTTGTTTCTGAGTATACGTTACTACGTTCCTTTGTTCATGCTTTATTTGAGATGCAAAATAAAAATCTGGTCATACGGTATTGAGAGAAAAAATGGGGAATATGCATGGTATGTACAAACACCGAAATCAATACATAATCAAATAGATTCGGACAACCCTGAGAGTTCAAGTGGTTTCAAGTTCATGTGTTTGGTATTATTTCGTGACCCTATTAAATGCGCTCGCAGCCGAAGCTACCGTAACCGCGGTGATGGTCGCGTTTTTGTTTTGGAATCCATTTTGAGAGCCTCGTGGAAATCTTGTAACTTCGCCGACCATTGTCGTTTCGTCCATTACGATTCGCTGAAAAGTAGGCGTAAGGCGAGCTCGCGCGAGAAAGAGAGAGAGAGGGAGAGAGAGAGAGGCGCGAGAGAGAGGAAGCGAAAAAGAGAGGATAAGAATGCTAAAAATCCATACCTTTAATGACATTCTCATTTCCTTGGAAGTCATCAGGTAGAGTGCGAATTTGTAAACCTAAATTTGCCAATAATAAACTACCGCAATCTTATTGCTAACAACATGCTGCAGAATCATTAAGTAGTTTTCCTACCTGAAAAACGGCCGGCGACCACGTGACAACAATATTCTGCGTGTCCTTGGTGACGCCGAGGGTAGAAAAGTTTTTAAGAAGATACACCTATGTATTTTTGTGGTTTTTTATGGTAAAGGTTGCCTACCACATTGTTCGCGATAATCAACACGCAAGCTATACAACTTGAGACGAGAACGGGGCGAATTTGCTGAAAAAGTCATGATTTGCAGTCCATGTTTAAATTACAGTACCGCCATGTCTTTCGAAGTGTCAAGGCCCAGCTTCTTTTTCGAATACAAAGCATAGCCATAGGCGCAAAATGAAAGGACGCACGAACTGCCCTTAAAATAAGTTATACAGGGTGTCCCAATAAAAAAGGTCACGCTGGCATTTTGCTATTTCAAATCCGACCGACTTGAAATTTTGCACAGAGGTGCGGAAAGGAATTTAAAATGTTCACAGAAACTTTCAGCACGATCGGTACAGTAGTTTTCCAGTTATAGTAAAAATACTGTTTTTCCCACACTTTAGCTTCATTTTTTCGGCTATCTTTTTGGACTTTGCATCAATTAACATAAATTTCCGGCTCTAAATCCCTTATTCTTCTTAACATCGGCGTCGTTAGCCCTTCTTAAAAAATACTTAAATAGCCTATTTTCGACCCGAATTTTGCGAAATAAAAAAATTCCTAGGATAAAAAAGGGTAGGCGCTTCATTTTCTCCATACATTCCAGGGCTCAATTCCGGCGGAATCCAGGTGAAAAACGTAAAATAAAGTTTATTTTTGCTATAACTCAAAAGCTACTGTACCGATCGGGCTGAAAGTTTCTGTGAACATTTTAAATTCCCTTCCGCCGCTCTGTGCAAAATTGCAAGTCGATCGCATTTGAAATAGCAAAATGCCAGCGTGACCTTTTTTATTGGGACACCCTGTATAGCACGTCAATTATGATCTCGTACCTGCGTAAGTATATTTAAATATTGGTGGTAGAGGGCAAAGACCGGGACCACACTAAAAAAACAACATTCGGAGGTGCAGTGACAAAAAATTCATAGAAAAGCGAAAAACCAAAAAGCAAAAAACTTTCGACCACGGAGGGATTCGAACCTTCAATCTTCTGCTCCGTAGGCAGACGCGTTATCCATTGCGCCACGCGGCCATGGGGTTGGTGGTCAGGGATGGCATTCACATACAATGGCAGGTGTCAAAATTGACAGCTATCTGCTGGAGCATTGGGTTTGACACCCCCCAGCCTAGGGCCTTTGTCTCATCAGCCCTCTCATTCCACTCCCCCACCATGGCCGCGTGGCGCAATGGATAACGCGTCTGCCTACGGAGCAGAAGATTGAAGGTTCGAATCCTTCCGTGGTCGAAACTTTTTGCTTTTTGGAGTTTGGGTTCTGAACGGCGTCGACATGAAGATGTTCTACCTAGAGATGTTACGAATCAAGTAATATAATGACCAAGTAAATTTGCTTGAACAACTTTATTTGCATCCGAAATCTTCAAGTAAATATAAAATTATTTTACGCCGTTTGCTTGAATAAGCATCAAGTAAAATAAAATTACTTGATTTACTTGATCTTGATTGATTTGGGAGAATTACTTGATTTTCAGCGAAATTACTTGATTTTGTGCAAATTCGCGATGCAAATCAGGCAATCGTGCCGCTAACCCAGTAAATTGGCATGCGATCATGTCATAAAGTTCATTACCATCCGAAAAATTCCAGAATTCCAGAAAGCTATTGTTTGATCAAGTAAATCAAGTAAATCAAGTAATCTTACTTGGTTCTTTCTCGAGCGGAGTCAAATAATATTATTTTACTTGGTCATGCGCTCAGCCCCATCCAAATAAAATAATATTGTGCCACTGTATGCAAATAATCTTGATTGTTAATTGATTCTTAACATCTCTAGTTCTACCTCCTAAGCTCCATGCCCTCGTCTTAAATGTCGTGTTGAATTTTGCCTTACCTCCCCGAGATCCCGCAGTAATAATCAACTTGAGTAGTTGTTCGATCGTCGAGGTAGGCCGTCACATACATAGCAGCAACATTTAACAAGCAAAAAGCAGCCCAACGCCCGCCATAGCGAAGCGGGTCCAGGTTTTGAAGTAGGTCCTGAAAATTTATACCTTGCTTTTTGTAGTATGATGCCTATAGAAAAACGGTAGCCCAACAGCTATAATTCGCTCCAAGGAAAGTAGGAACATATTGACGCCGACGAATTCTGTTCCAAATATCCGGAAAATCATATTCCCGCGGAGGAGGCAATCCCAGAAACTGGCGGCTAAAACGTGAACTCGTTCTAGATAAATGGAATGAAAAGCGACGCATTAATGAGAGGGTTTTGCGAAATCTATCTAGTAATGGATGAGGAACCTTCCAAAACCCCCTTACGTCTAGTGTACGTCCCCGTAGTCATCGTATAGAGCCGAACAAGTGATGGAAAAAGAAAATAACTCCCGTCAAAGGTGTCTCCAATCGCCACGCAGGTAAAGAGAAAATACCTAAAAAAGTCAATTTTGCATCAGCTTTTGCCCCACTTTCTCCGTAGGCTCGGCCTGGAACACAAAAACAAGATCAACAACAGATTCGCCGCCACCACCACCATCCCGACGTAGGTACGGTAGAGTTCGCCGACCGCAACGGAATCGTCTGGACGTACGATGAAGTAGTCGGTGATGAGGTCTGAAAAAAATCAGGTTTTTTTTTAAGAAAAAAACCGAAGTTTTCTAGGTCTAAGCTCGGCCTAAGCTAAGTTTAAGCTAGGCTTAAGCTAAGCATAAGCTAAGCCGAAAAAGCCTAAGCAAGTCCTAAGCTATGCCTAAGCAATCAATTTTCAATTTAATAACCCACCTGCAATCTCCGAAGCATTACAGGTATAAGCCGCCGGATCGGACGAATTACCACCAATCTTTGTCACGCAGAACTCCATGCCAGGTTTGAATTTTAGCGAGCTACTGGCTGAGGATGTGCCCATCGCGGTCCTAAAAAAAACAAGAAGTTCTTCGGGGCTTTGAAAATTAAGCGCACTTGAAGCCGGGAGGGGCGCTTACGCAAATGGCTTTGGGGCGGTGAAGTGGCCGGAATTAGGAGGGGAGGTGGAAAAGTTGCGTAATTTCGGAGGGGTCGCAAAATGTAAAGGGATGGGGATGGTTGGCCTAAAACCGGATGTATTTTTGGAAAGTAAGCTTGATGTTTTCCACCCCTTTCGCTTGCAGGCTTCGACGTCAAAAGTGATTTTTCAGATATATTTTTTAGAGCAGATCGGTGTTTAAAAAGATGGTTTTAGTAATTTTGCAGAGAAAAAGAATAATGGAAAATTAGGGAATAAACAAATTACGTTTAAAGCTGCTCGGAGTTTCTGCCTGGCACGGTCCCTTTAGAAACGATCACGATATTATGAGGTATGGGGGAAGCGATACCTTAAAAAAGATTCAAAACCGGCCTTAAAGTTCGCTGAGCTACGTGACACTACCCAATTACGTCAATAGTAGGTCGGAGGTAACCCAATTCTGCCGGGTTATTGGATTGGATCGCTGCTCACTGTTAGTCAACCAAAACTTTTGATGGCTTCGGACTGGTATAAAAAAACGACCGAGCATGGAAAAATCAATCCATTTTCCGTAGTTACAAGAAGTACTCAAAAAATCGCAGGCAATGCTGAAATCAAATTTTTGGTACTTATAAATCGCATGCTTATTCAAAGCAGGGTCTTTTCAAAAAAATGGGGCAATTTTCGATCGTCAAAGAATCCAATGAAACGCAGGTGGCCAGGCCTTTCGTGTATCCGCTGGTAATTAGGAAACCTGCCGGCGGGAAAGCTATAAAGCAAGTCCGCTTTAGTCAATTAGTCCTCCTGTTCGACTTGGTTTCGTGGTGATTGATGCAGTTTTGTAATCGTTAGTTACAAAAACCAGAAATTGTGATTTTTTTTACCTGGAATAGCGGATCAATCATTTAGAAAAAAATTGAACAGATAAAAATTAACGATAAGGAAATTCAAAGGAGCGGAAAAGAGTCAAATCAATTGTAGAAAACATTAAAGAATACATGTAAAGGCAGTGGAAGAACAAAACAAGACGTGGAAGAAGTAGTCAAAAGAAAGTTGCATAGAAAACCAGAAAATTCGAGGTGTCGGGAAAGGGAAAACACAGAGCGACATTTTTCAAAATCGCATTCCAAAATGTTCGAGTTTTCTGCAATCAGGTGAGGTTAGACGACGTCTAATAAACGTTAAACATGAAAAAAATTTTTTTCGAAAATTTTCATTTCAGCCTGAGGAGAGAACTCATTTCCGAGAAGAAATGAAAGCGGCCATTACCCCCAAAAAGTAGCAATAAATCGAACGGCTTCGCCTCGTGGCGGCCAATTTGTTCGCTCACCAGCTAGGCAGGCCGTTCGCCGGCAATTCAATTTCGCAAATATACGCCCGACAATGGCATTAACTCTCTCATCTGTATGTATTCTTGATAGCCGGAACAAAAAACCTGCTTGAAAAACGGTTGTTTGCTGTCTATAGAGAATTCTGGGGGCTTTTGAGGATGCGGTTTTCAATAAAAAAAGCTTTGACTTTATTCAAAAATTATTTAAATTCCGGGAATGGGATAATTGATTATCCGTGGCACTGGAAGGTGTCGTGGCAGCACGAGCACATCCACTGGTTGCCGCTCTGCATCAGGAACGCGCCGCGGTACCACTGGAATTTTTGATATGACCGATGCCTTATGTATCTCTGACACAGACTCTCTCCCTCTCTCTCACTCGCCCTCTCTATACCGCAAAATTAAAGTAAACTTACAGCTCCCCATCCCTGCTGCACGGAGACGGCCTGACAGCATGAGGTGCAGGAGAGCTAAAAAATAGGAAAATTATGGAAGCAGCTTTGCGTTTTCTCTCTCTCTCTTTCTCTCTCTCTCTCTCTCTCTCTCTCTCTCGCTCTCTCTTCTTCTCTCACTTGCCTGCTGTCCAGGTTGGAAGACGCATGGGCTCGGGTTGGCGGTCTGGGAGATGAACAGCGGCTGACGGACGCAGGCTGTAAAAAATTTCCCGGTGGTAGCGGAATCTAACGGATTGTCACCAACCCCGCAAGCTTGAAAATAAGTCAAGAAGGTACTTACAATGGCACACATCGTTCTGGCGGGGGAACGGGAAGGGGAAACGACGGTCAGGGCGGCCTGGAATCATTGGTTTTTGGAAGCATTCGCAGGTGTAAAAAGTATGGTAATGGAATCCATACCTGGCCGACCGCGTCCCCGCTCGCCACTGTGATTGTGGCTGTCACGGCGTCGTCCGCCACCACCTCGGCCTCCGTCATGGCCACCACGTCCACCTCCACCACCTCCGCGTTGCTAAAATTATTTGACTGGAATGGTATACAAAAGGCATTAACTAAAGTTAACTAAAGTACTCTAAATTCCAATTTAGCGATCGGAAAGTGATTTTTTCAAGCTTAGGTGTTGCTGAAAACTTACCGCCATCACCACGACCGCAAAAAGCAAGAAAACGAGCACCGAGATTTTCATCGTTGAGCTCGAAGTTGTCCCTGAATATTCTGATTCGTCTTGAGTGTTTATATATATTCTGGAAATATTTTGACTGGTTTTTCCGGATGATTCAGCCGGGGTGGTCCGGAGGGATGACCGGTGTTGTGGCTTCTGCCGATCTTTCGATATTTCCAGAAAATGCCCGCGTGAGTTTTGAAACGAAAATAGAGTTTTTTGGGGGGCGAGAGAGCGTGAGAGCGTGAGAGAGAGAGAGAGAGAGAAGAGAGATATGGGGCATAATGGAACCGAAGATCTATTTTGTACTCGAGCCACCCAATTTCTAATGTTCCAAAACCAGCCAAAGTTTTCGCTACCCTATTTTGCACCTGTTGAAGCTCATAGTCTGTGCCATGTCTGCATGCGACGCGTATGTTCACTTCAATGGGCGACCCGGGCGGCTTTATTCAAAGCAGCCTCGTCTATCATCAACTTCTGTGCCTCCTTTCCACTTTTACAACGTTATTCACGCTCTATGTTATATTAAAGTTTACCCCTATTAAATCGAGGCCATATATGCGATATTTGATAGGGATTGAGGTACAATATATAAAAAAGATGTTTAATATGGGAGGGAGCTAGCGAGACAGAGAGAGAGAGAGAGAGAGAGAGAGAGAGCAGGAGCGAGGCCTAAATCGAAATCTTTTAGCTGACCTCGTTCGCGGCAATGTTATACCTCTCCGTACTCACACCATTAATCATGGTAGCGGCCCAAGAATCGACAATTATCGTCTGTTTCTCCTCGGCGCCAGCCTTACAGTTTGGCAGTTGGCTGCAAGATATCCTGGGAGATGGACTCGAGGACAAAACGCTTGCGCTTCGATTTATTGTGGTAATTAAATCGTTCTAGTTTCGATACATAATTTATGTAAATTAGATAATAAATGAAGTAGCGTAATCTAAAACATAATATAACATCACCCTTTTCCATTTTCAGCCTTGCGGTCTATTTATGGCAGCTGCTAATGTGGCTGCGTATGCACACGCTATGCTTTACAGACATCAGGTATCTCCTAAGTGATACCTTAACATTTTTCCGCCAAGCTAAGTAGTACTAGCCTACATTAAGATCTCAATCGATCCGCGCTCATACTGCATACTGCCGATACCTTTGATCCGATTCCTCTACACGCTAGCCTATTTGGTGGTCATGCTCTGCGGGGTGTACACCAATTTTCACGTGTGGGCACTGGATTGGGTTAGTTATCAGGTTGGAAGGTAAGTCCTGTCGCCGAGATTTTGGAAGGCTGGCTAAAATCGTAGATAGCTCCATTCTGCACATGCGATATGTCATTTTGTAGCTCTCGACCTGAATCGTTCCGGGAGGAGGGTCCTGGACCCTCAAAATCAAGAACGGCCGAGATACAGGCCCGGGAAGATTTTTCAAAAATTACGCAAAAGTGTTTTTGCAAGTTATCTCTGCATAAAGATATTTGCATGCGATACCTTTAACGCCAATCGATAGCTCTCGAAGAGTAGATATCGATAAATGTTGAGATCATCATAATTGGACATCGGATGGCCGAGATATGGCCTCTTGAAGTTTAGCCCATTTCTTAGAACTTTTCTCAAAATCCCATACTTTTCCAAACATTTGACGGACAGGTGCCGAAAATTACCGCTTTATTTTTGGACGCGCCGAGCGGATTTCGACCAAATGTATGGGATTTCGAGAAAAGTTCTAAGAAATGTTCCAAATTTCAAAGGCCCATATCTCGGCCGTCCAGTGTCCAATTTTGATGATCTCAGCATCTATCGATATCTACTCCTCGAGGGCTATCGATTGGCGTTAAAGGTATCGTATGCAAATCACTCTACGCAGAGATACTTGCAAAAACACTTTCGCTCAATTTTTCCAAAAACTTCTTGGGCCCGTATCTCGGTCCGCCTGGATCTTGGCGGGCTAGGACCCTCCTCCCAAAACAGTTCAGCCCAAGAGCTTCAAAATGACATATCGAATGTGCAGAATGGAGCTATCTACGATTTTAGCCAGCCTTCCAAAATCTCGGCGACAGGACTTACCTTCCAACCTGATATATAGTTAGTTAGTTAGTAAATTTATATCATAACTATTGATATTGAGATCCATTATTATATAATATTGATAAATATGTCCAGGAAGAGGCCGTGATGCGTCCGGAAACTATGGAGGAGATTTTACATTCCCAATTCTCCGCCGAGTGCTCATCGCGAATTAAACTTGAGCGGGGATGGACGTTACTGTAAGCCGGATCCAAAGAGATATACCATGGAATTATTTTTATTATTTAATATGTTTAAAAATTCAGAATCAAAGTACGACTGTTCCAGGGGAGGCGTCTTTTTTGGGTTCAGCTGTCTCCTAGGCCTGGTATGCCATTCATACTATTCGATTACGTCGCTTAAATTGAATACCAAAAAGATGAGGGAGCTATCGAAAGCATTATTACTCTCAATGTCATGCCAGGTAGTTTTTTTCGCTGAAAGGATCTTTGTGCCGGTTTTTGGATACCTTAAAAATGTACTTTTCCAGATTACTACTTTCTTTTTAACTCTAACGCTACCGCTGATTGTTTTAATGGCGAAATACGGTGACGAGGATATTTACAAATATTGTAAGTTTGTATTCTGGCATTTAAATGCTTGTTCAGGGCGGTATTCATCATTCTTAATTTGTTGTCATAATATACTGACTACGCTAATTGTCCTATCAACGACAAAATCATATCGCAATGGAATTATGCAAATGCTTGGTATTCTCTCAACAGAGCCGGATAAAAACTTTTCGGTAAAAGGTAGGAAAATGAGGCCAAATTAAGGTTACGGCCATAAAAATAAGTCAGGCGATACGACATTAATTTTTAGTGTCCCACGTCTCCGCATCTCGACGTCACACCCATCGACCTCGAAAATCTTTTACAACCGTCATTAGTGCGCATAAATTTGGAACATGAGCCAATGGAAAAATTCAGAATATTGAAGTACGGTGACAAAATTCTGAAACAAACTTGCGGACTTAAAAATTACAGCTCAAAGATGAGATTCTGCCAGTTTCATTCCATGGCTTTTCTCAAAAAACAGAAAATACTCAATTGTTGTTAAAACGTTGTTAAAACGTTAGTATTATAATGCTGAAGCTTCAAAATCTGGTATGATAATTGTATCTATCTACCATAATAATTTTGCTGTGCTGTCTGTCCGAAGCCGAATTCCACTTGAAGGGGGAAGGAGCTAGAGCTTAGCTCTCTTCGGATTCGGATAGAGCGCCATCAGAAACCCCCAAACTGATACGAAGAAGTTTTTGTTTAAATTATTACATTTAACTTTGAAAGTGGCGCCTCAATAAAACGAGTGGGGAACGGACTATGGCACGATTTTGGGCATAGTGGGCTCGGTCGCGCGCGTTTCCGAGGGGGCGAAAGCGCAGGGAGGGGGTGGCGCAAAATCCCAGCCGCTTCGCCGCTGCAAGCGGCTGGTAATGTCGAAAGTGTCGTCGTCGACGACGTCGAAGAATTTCGTGTGTCGCCGTTTTACATAAGCAATTACCGCGAAAAACCCGAACCACATTGTGAAATTTCAACGTGCTGAGCCTTCGACCATAAGGCAATTCTCGCCAAATGTAACGATTTTCATCGTTAACTCAAGATAATCTTAAACCGAGATCACCAGGTGAACTACAGCCTTG